TGAATGAATGAAATGAATGAATGAAAGAAATGAAATGATTGATTGAGTTGAAATGGCATGAAATGAAATGAAATGAACGAATGAATAATGCATGAAAGAATCAATAAATGGATGGGTGGATGGACGAATGAATTTCAGGGAACGGAACGGAATGGACCAATGACATGACATGGAATGAATGATTAAATGGAATGAGTTAGTGAATGAATGAACGCTCGAATGAGCGAATGGATTAATAGATGAACCAATGCATGAGAACGATGGAATGAAATGTCATAAAAATGAAACGAAACAACACAAATAATCGAATGAATCAAGGAAGGGGACTTGAACGGAATGCAAGGAATGAGTGGAATGAACGCGTATTTGAGTGGATGGATGCATAGAAGGAGAAATAAATCAATCTGCCATTGTGGCGCGCGCCAGACGGGAGCCGCGACTTCCAGGTAGATTTGTCCGTGCACTTAGGAGACAGCCGTGGAACGATTTGGGGCTATGCCTGGATCCTGACCTCGAGCACTTTGGCCTTTGTTTGAGCTTGAGCTTCGGCTTTCGGCCGCTTTACATCAGACTCGCTTCGGAACTTGGCCCTGAGGGAGAAGTCTGCAAGTATGTGCAGATCAAAATGAACCCCCCCCCCCCCCCCCGCACAAGAGTCAGCCTTAACCCGAAGGTCATGCCACCAGCTAGGCTGCAAGGCGCACGAAGCACATAGATATGTTCACTGGCTCGCAGGGGTGTTTGGCCCCTGCAACTTTGCAGGGGAAAGTTTGCTCCATGATCCCGCATGCTCGGGCAGCAGCATCATTGCCAGAGGAGAAGCCATTTCATCAGAAGTGTGCCCAGATAGTGCCGACGTTTGCTGCTGCAAAGGCGGGCTCTGGCAGCGTCCATACCTTCTGGGGAGGCTTTGCGTGTGCATCATGTCAACGCCAGGCCCTCGGAAGGTAGCCCTGTACGTTTCCGTTTGTGGCAGGTGCTCGAGGCTAGGCCCTGCTAGGCTTTCCCACTGCTCACTGAAGGCAAACCTTACAGGCTTACAAGAGCAATCTCCAGGTCATGCATTTTCGGCCGTGCATCCTACACGGTTCGGAATTCGAACCGTTCTGCTCCAAGGCAGCACTTCGTCGGGTCTCTTGGACGGCAGCCCTCCAGGCCTCGGCTTAAGTGACGGGCAGCAGAGCACTTCCAAGCTCGTTCGACATCGTTCGACCGTCCGTCGCTCATCGTCTGCGAGCTCACCAGGCTCTGGCCGAAATGGCTGCATTTCGCTTCCAGGCAGGAACACATCGACCCAGGACTTGAGGAGCTTGCATTCCGATGGCCGCACACAACCTGTGCCAGGCGACTGAAGTGTCCCACAATGCAGCGATTGCGGCTGCAGCCTCTGGGTTGATTAAAACCTCTCCTCCAATGCAGTTTCGGAGTTCTGCTCAACCTATTTCGTTCTGACGGTTCGAAGATGCATTCACAATTTAAAACTGGCAGAACTCGTAGACTTGCACCAAGGCCTCGCAAGCTAGCTGGCAAAGCGCTGTGGCCGTTCTTCGCATGAGCTCATTGCACAAGCTGCAAAGCGTGCCCCGGCGAGTTGGAGATCGGAGCATCCTCCTCTGAACTTTGCATAGCTCAGACTGTGGATAGTTCACGGAGACCCACAGCATCGCAAGGAGCAGATAAGGACATCGGCCTGAATTCAGCACTCTCTGCATGTGGCAAAAAGCAGCTCTGGGAGACGGCGACACTCCTTTTCGCCACCATGTCGACTCTAGGCCTTCATTTCGAGCAAGATGTGTTTGTCAAGCTGCAGTCATGCTCGATGTTGGTACTGGCCTACTCCTACTCAGGACGTTACAGCTCCTTCCTTCAACTGTCAGTACCTTGGACATCATGCCAATGGTGCATGTTGCGCTTGCAGACATGCAGACTAATGAGCTACCACCAGCAATAACATTGAATTGGATGAGCAGAACCGAGGTTACAACAGCTCCCTGACGACGATGCACTATTCCAGCCATTGGCACTTGGCTGTTCACCTTCTTGGCAGGATGAGCACGGAATCGGTGCCGCGACACGCAAGTTCTTTTGCTCACCGACTTGGTCAGTGTAAGACAAGGTTTGACTGCACGAGCTTTTATCCTGACGAGCTGGCCCGAGCGGCAAAGCTTCTTCACAGCAGCCGACAGACAAGGCGTTTCATCGCCTTGGCTAAAGCCTTGGCTGGCGACTGGGATACTGAGGCTATCATAGGCTATCCCACCTACTGTAGCAAAACACGGCTTCATTTGACATAGTCGCGCACAGGTGCGAGAGGACACGATCTCCCAAAATGCTGCGATCAGTTCCCGCGAGCGAGGACGACAATGGTGTGGGGCTTCTTGTCTTGCAATGTTCCCGCCGTGCTGAGGTTCAGTATCATGACAACTTCGCGTTGCTGTCCCTGGCATGATCATAGCTCAGGCTCTGGACATGTTGGCTCGCCTGTCCCTGGGCGTGGACATTCCTTCACTGACGCAAGCAAACTAAGTTGTTCTAAGTCACACGCTTGAAGCTGGAGCTTCCCGCAGCGTGTTCATCTTCCATGTCCAGGTTCAAGGCTAAGCTAAACTAAGTGGAGGTGAAACCAGCAGCACGGGGTGGGAGCGCCGAGGCCGTCGAAGAGGCTGAATCCATCCTTGATCACCTTCAACTCCACTATCAGCGCATGTGAGAAAGGTTCAGCCTGGGAGTCCTCCTTGGCAGTCCTTGCCACGCTACCTGGGCAGGCAGTGAGTGGGGTGTGTCCACATCGGTTGATTCTGGGCCACCCATCTTACTTCAAAAAAGCATCGCCCCGCAGACGACTACAACAGTAAGCTGCTCATGGGATATTTATATATTATATATACATATGTTTACACACACATACATACGTACATATATATAT